CGATCTAATGAGATCTGTGACTGGAACAAATCCACATCCAAATGTTCTATGTTCATCTCAACAGATGAAACACAGATGAAACATCAGATGAAACACTTGCTTACTTCCTTCCTTCTTCATTCTTCAGGGTACATGCCTCTCCGCCTACCTTCCTTCTCCCCTCCTCAGCAACTGTCTTATGTTCTTTCATACCAGTTTTTCACCACAAATAAAACCATATTACATAACCTACCTACACACCCACCACACCTACATATTTATACCGTATCCTGATATTGTATGTCCTACCTAATGATGTTCCTCCTCTTGTAATGAATGATAAGTGTGTGTAACTATCACCTATTCTGTATGCTTTTGGCATTGGAACAGGCATAGCACACCACACCGCCGTTCACCAACTTGCCTGCATAGTTGTGCTCTACATCTTCAAGTTTGGCTTTCATGGCAAAAGCATTAAGCCTTGATTGATGTCAGAAGCAACCTGACTCTGACCAAAAGATTTGCCAAAATACTCTGCACCCCATCAATTACTACCTTCTCATACTTGGCCATACTTAAACTCAACTCTCCAAAGAAAATCATCATTATTTAACCCTTATAATCGGGGGTTGATAAGCACAAGCCAACCCCCATTGTGCACGCCAAGCTGCACGCCTGGAGCAGCTTGGCGTGCGCATCCGCACGCCAGCCGCACGCCAGCCGCAGAATGGTGTACCTGCCTATGGCGTGCAGGCAGGCACGTCACTTGCCTGCAGGTCGGTGTGCAGGCCTGCACACCAAAGGAGTTTGGTGTGCGGCCTTGCCCAATGGTTTTGGGTCCTAAACGCATATACATATGCTTTTAGGACTGTCGCCAACCCATACAACCCATCCCTGGGTTGTATGGGCTGGCCCCAGAGTCAGTCATCCAAGGTTTTAACCTTGAAAAATGACTGCAATCAAGTTTAAAACCTTGATCGGCCATTGTTCAAGGTTAAAACCTTGGACAATGATGGCCTTCAACATACGTGTAGGACCAAGGCCTGGGTCCTACACGCTTACATAGCACCCTGGGGGCGGAGTTTGAGTCCATCCCCTTGCGCGGGGTTCTACCTTTAGCTTGGATGGCTGAGTCCAATCTCCGCCCTTCCTTTCCTACCCCCTACCCTCAACCACCATCTCACCGAGGGGACCAAGCGACCGACAAACGACCAGCCACCAAACCCAAGGGGACCAAGCGACCAACAAACAACCAGCCACTAAACCCAATTGAGCCCCGGACCCGCTGTCCAGTGACCATTTATCACAATCACTCAATTTTTGTGTGTATGTTGCCTTGGCTACTTTGCCCCCTCATGGTCACCACATGGCTGGCATTTTTTTGTTACTTATCTAATTATGCCTTTGGATTCAAATCCATCAAGATATTTCTGACAAGTCCTCAAATGCTTGAGTGGTGGTAACAACCATCACAGCCTGATGTACCACTCAGCTGCACCAAACAACCGACAGAGCCAACACAACTCCTTCCTCCCAACAGGCAACAGCAGACACATTTCCCCCCTCCCGCAAGCTGTTGCGGGCACCCCAGCTCACCACATCTCGTGGCAAAGAGACCCCTCTTGGGCTCAAGCCCATGATGGGCAGCAAGACACCCCTGTGTTCCAAGCACACCCTGGTGCAATTTCTGGAAACCACTCCTGGCAGCCAATGTTGGCCCACTCCAGCCATCATCCAATCATCTACTCTGGCCCCCCACAATATATGAGTTACTCCACACCAATGAGCTACATGGCGCCAACATCCTACCAACACTCAGGCTTGGTATACACTGGCCAACCTCACTACCCCTACTCAGCGGCTCTGCAATCACCCTTGGCCTGGCCCCCCATACTATCACCATCTGTCAATGCCAATATACGCCCCGCCCCCTTCTCAACAGATGTTCTTTCCTGGTCACTCCAAGCCAACCAGACAAATGGCCCTCATCCACCAGTCAATTATGGGGCCCGCCCCAGTCAAGCTGCAACATCTGATCAGCCCAGCAATACACCTGCCCCTCAACAGCCATTTACTAGCGGGGTCAACTCCAAGGCATCTGTCCAGACCGGTGAGCACCCAAGTGAACATCCAGTTTTCCATGGGTCCAATCTTGGTAGGCTTGAGGTACCTGATGGTCAACTCAAAATTGACACACACAATTCCGTGACCAAAGAGATATCTCAGTTTGAAGAGCCAGGGGCAAGCTGTGAAGATTTGGATTGGGACTTGGGGAACGAAAGCGCCAATTTCCACAAGCTGAAGTCATCATTCTTACTGCATGGTCCAGCCAAAATCAATCCCTTGGCTTTGGAAGGCACTGATGTGTGGCTCTTGGCCCCCTCTGGAACTTGCCCGGTTGAGAGTACTGTGCCTGCACGGCCCAATTTTGCTGTTGAACAACAGACTTCAATGGGGCTGGATCTTGAGATGGGAGATGGTCTGGTAGATGTGGAAGGTGGGTCTTTATTTCATGAACATCAGGGCTGGTATTATGTGCAACATGGTTTTGACTAATCTCATGTTGCTTGTTTTCATCAGGGGCTGGCCCTTCAAGAGATGAGGCTCGACCTCACCATCAGGGATGCAACTCAATAATACAGAGGTCTCAACGGCTGAAGGGGTCCCGCCCAGTGGTTGTGTCTTGACATCAATTGATGTGGATAATTTTTACTTTATTGTGGGGAGTAAGTGGGAGAGGTTACTTAAATAATTATCTGTCAATGGGCTGACTTTGACCTCTGTGCCTTGAAGATCCGATGGATCCCCCCCCTCTGTACAGATTCTACAAATACAAGGACCTGAAGAGGTTTGTCCAGACATGTGCACAGGCACATGACTATAAACTTGTAACAGGCAGCTCAAAGCCAGGGAAGAATGGGTACTTGAAATGCTTGTTGGCTAGAGATGATAGAAACAAGCCCGATAAAAATTGACAGCGGTTGTCTTGGAACAAACATATTGGTTGTAGATTCAGGATCTCTGTGCACAAACCAATGGACAAAGATTGCCCAGATGAACCTTGGGAAATTCAAATCAAGGATCACTTGTCTTATAATCAAGGCCCAATGGAGATGCAATATGAGGTTCTCAATCAACGGGTTGATCTGGCGCTTGAGACAGAGGTGTTACGCATGGCATCTTTGGGGATGCAGCCAAGAGCAGTGGCAATGATGCTCTCCAAAAGAGCAGGTTGTCATGTGATGTGTAGGACCATTTACAATGTGACTGCTGCACATAAACAAGGAAAGCAGAAAGGCAACACCCCAATGCAGTATCTCCTTCAGTGCCTCAGCAATTCCAACTGAATACATGACAAGGCTTACGACAACAATGGCCAACGCCTATACATGTGGTTTGCTCATCCTGGCTATCTGGCACTTGCACAAATGTTCCATCATGTGGTCTTGATGGATTGTACTTACAAGACAAACATGAACAACTACCCTCTGTTGCATGTGGTAGGGCAGTCAGCAACCAACAAGACCTTCTCCATTGGTTTTTGCTTCATGAGGCACAAGTCTGAGGTAGCATATTCATGGGTGTTGAAGAAGTTGAGGTGAGTTGAATAGGTTTCTCATTGGCTCCAGTTCTCTCATCAGACAGACTGATTGATGGTGGCATTTATCAGGGATGTGTGGGCACCCAAAAGAACACCCAAGGTGATTGTAACTGACCGCAAGAAGGCTTTACAAAATGTGATCTTATAATGTTGTTTCTGCTTTAGTCCCTCAAAAAGTCTTAAAAGTTCCAAATGTCTTAGATTCTATGAAATATATATTAATATGATATGGGCTCAACAATACTTTTATAAGATATAAGTATGTTGCCTTTCATTTAATCCCACTGGCACAGATGTACTGTTGTATGGGGAGGAGTGTCTCCCCATATAGTATAACAAGAGTGAAAATTTGGGTGGGCCAGGGTCAACTGTGGTCCACATGGTGACTTAGCAATTTTTGCACAAAAATGATAAAAATTGGCTCATCGGAAAGAGAAAAATCCAAGCATTTTTTGAGCTACTTGGCACTCCAACTTTCCCACGGGAACACCTTCAAATACAGGGTCAATGTTTATTTTATCCATATTTTGATTTTTTTCTTCAGAGTCATAATTTTTCAAGAAAGAATATAAATATGACATCATTGGAAGGAATAAAGTTCAATCTATTTTTTAAGCCACTTTAAATTACAAATTTCTCATGGTAAGACCCCAAAAAACCTGGCCAAATTGTTTTTGATCTTCAAGTATTGGTGTCTCAATTCTTGGAATAAAGTTGTAAAAATGGTATTGTTGGGAATGAGTAAAGTCCAAACTATTTTTTAAGCTACTTTGCATCACAACTTTCCCACGGAAAGACCTCCAAATACCTGGTCAAATTTGTTTTGGATCTTCTGATGTGGGTGTCTCAATTCTTGCAGTAAAAATGTAATCATGGTCTTGTTGGAAATAGTAAACCCCAAACTATTTTTAAGTTACTTTGCATCACAAATTTCCCAGGGGAAGACCTCCATATACCCAGCCAAAATATTTTTGATCAGCTGAGGTGGGTGTCTCAAGTCTTGCACTAAAAATGTAAAAATGTAAACCCGGTATTTTTGGAAAGGATAAACTCAATTTTTTTTTTTTTGATCATCTGAGGTGGGTGTCTCAATGCTTGCACTAAAAATGTAAACTCAGTATTTTTGGAAAGGATAAACTCCAAACCATTAGACCTCTATATACCTGGTCAAACTTTTTTTAATCTTCTAGTATTGGTGTCTCAATTCTTTCAATAAAATTGTAAAAAGATTACTTTTGGGAAGGGTAAAGTCCAAACTATTTTTAAGCCACTTTACATCAAAACTTTCTCATGGGAAGACTTCCAAATACCTGGTCAAAGTTTTTTTCAATCATCTGATGTGGGTGTCTCAATTCTTGCACTAAAAACGTAAGCATGGTCTTGTTGGAAAGAATAAAGTCCAAACTTTTTTTAAGCTACTTCACATTGGAAATTTCTCATAGGAAGACCTCCAAATAATTTCTCAGGGTTAGGGTTTGTTCTAAATGGTACAGGCCCCCTCAAGATCAAATTTCAAATTTCAACTTTTAACTTTTCAATATCCTCAAGCCTTAAGATTTCAACAATATCACCTCAAATCCCCTCTCAGTCCAACAGTTTCCTTCATTATATTATTTTACTATGTTTTTGTTTCATTTTATTATTTTTCTTCCTCTGATTATTTTATCTTCATATTATTTTTCATTCATCTTGAGTTTATTTTTATTTTATTATTTTATCATTCTTTATTATCTTTTTCAAATCACCTACTCATCAGACAGTCTTGTTTAATTTTCTTGGTCCTAAGACATCTTAGTATGTTGGTTTATTTCACTCTTGATTGTTTTGTTTTGTTTTGTTTTGTTCTGTTCTGTTCTGTTATATCTGTTTGTTCTGTGTTGTGTTGTGTTGTGTTGTGTTGTGTTGTGTTACGCTGTTGTGTTGTGTTGTGTTGTGTTGTGTTGTGTTGCTGTTGTGTTGTG